AAAACAAACAATACATCGTACAATCTTTTGACTATAAGCGCAACTCCAATTAGATGTCAGAGTGATAAGCGTCACGTCACGTCACAAAAAAACTGTTCACATGAAAAAAAATACTCGGTATATTTAGTGTAATATGCATTTATTTTTTTAATTTTCTTCGTAACAGAAAGTATATTCTGATAGGAGTTTCAAATAAAAACAAGCACTAAAAAAGTATGGTACCGTGGGTACGGTAACGCAATCCGGCTCACAAGTGAATAACTTACTTGTTTTCGAAGTGTTGAAATTATTGATTATTACTCAGTAGTGATTATAATAAACGCACGAAAAATAAATTCGTTGAATTGTTATCAAATGCAAGTAAAATTCAACTTAGTTTCACCTTAAGCGAATTATTTCAGTCACATGTAAACGATCTATGTGATACGACATCCGCCATGAATGCACACGAGACGTTACTTGACCAGATAGGTCAAGTCGCTAATTAATTAACCAATCAAAATGCTGGATGGTGCCCACGTGTTCAAATTACCTTAGTTCATTTAAATATGTTAATGACAGGTCATCAACTTTATGGTGAACAAAACCCGGAAGAGATTTACCGATAATGTAGTGCGATCTTTTGGCTTTGATTTCCATGGGAAAACGACATGACTTTTTTTTAAATCAAGAAATTAGTTGTTTTCGAAAGATAAACTGAGCATTGAAAAAGCATTTAACAGTTTTTCGGTGATAACAGTTCATTGTCGAAAACTTGCAACACGCGAACGTATTCATAAGGAGTATTGACAAAAGTTGTCGCAAGAACAAAAGCAGTTTCACTGCGTGTTGGACATCCTAACACTACTGAACAATAAAGAGGTGTGAATATTTTTAGGCATGTTGTCGAAACAAATGAATAGGATTAGGAACAATGTACCAGCTGGTTGAAACAAAGTCAGTCACGGTCTTGTTGAATTGGCGGTGCGGTTAGTAATAGGTACTTTTCATGTTTGTTGAGAACACTGAAGCCAAAATCGGGGGTGTGGTTACTACATGTATTAGGTATGCGGTTTATAATAGGATTTTAACGCTACATGTATAAATAAAATGATCACAAATAAAATCTTTCACAATAAACAAATTACTATTATGGTCTTTATTTAAACCACATGCCCATATGCAAAATGAGCAAAAATATATTCAAACCTGCCACCAAATGCCACGAATATGTCTTGCACTTTCTAAAAGTCTTTGGTGTACAGAGGACACCCCACTCCTGCGCGAAAGCAACGTGCTCGCATTGCATTGCATTGCGCTGCGCTGCGCTGCAAAGCTACGCAGCCGTTGGGAGCATCCTACTATTTTAATTTAGCCTCCTACTTTGAAAGTTAGGGAAACCCCTGTGTGTTTGTTCACTACATAACACAACCTTCTCTTACTGGACATTCATCTGAGAGCCACATTGCTGACTGACTAGCAAATTTCCTTGCTAACGCACTGCATTAGTGTTTGAATGCTACATGCGGCAATAATAAATTTGAGAATAGTGACAAAAGTTGACTTTTTGAAGGGTTAAAGCCACGCAGTCTGCTGGTCACAAACCATTCATTCAGTTTTTATGTTACGTAAACAGTGTATTTTTTTTTCACATGTGTTGTATATGAACACTATACAGTGCATTATTTGTGGCACTTCAAACATAGGTAAGATTGCTTGAAGTAATTCTCTTACCTGGCATCATATGAGCTGATAGCATGTACGGCTGCATAGTGTTATTCTCTTCCTGCCATACTGTTACACAAGAATCACCTTTTCCCTGAATTTAGAAAAGCATTTATTGACATACAGTACAGTCTGGGTTTAAAACTTGAAACTTAAAGAATTATAGTCAATAATAACATCAATATAACTTACAATAGTGACAAGATTCATGTCCAAGGTGTTATCACATATTACAGCATTATTATTGCTTTCTGTGTGTACTTCACTGGTATTTATACATTCCATTTGAATAGATTCTTTCACCTGTCAAATAATCATTACAAAAACACAGATTAACAGTCAACCATAATATCTGTTTTCAGTATACACAAACTTTATAGTTTTGTTTTGAAATGCCTATGTAATACATATAACACCTATTACATTACCCCAGCTTCCTCTGTCTGTTTCTCCACTTTTGTTACCGAATAGACTTCAGTAGCTTTGCTATACGATTCCTGTTCCGTAGCCTTTGAAAAACATCCAATCATGTAAGACATGATGTCAGTACCAAAGGTCACCCACTTGAATAAGTAATAAATCAATGCCCATATTTGTCAACTGGCGGGTGATTCCAACGCCACAGAATTTGCTGCAGTTGTATTCCTTGATGTAACATTTTCAAAGTCACAGTAAATCAATGTACAATTACTGTAGGTGTGATGAGATTGTTGTCAGTAGCACCTTGAAAGTGAAGGCTTTTTGTTGTTTGAGTAAAATATTATTTACTGGCACCTTTATCAATGATGGGATGTTTCTCACAAGAAGACAAATGGATTTGGTGTGCAGTACTTTGTTGCATCAAAGATCAAAGAAAGCTTAGAAAGAACTCCCGTGTGCTGAGAGTATTGGAGACACATTAAAAATTAATTCAAAATTACTAGTACCTGAGATATTGATGGAAAAGCTGAAAACTAATTATGTAAATCAGGTAACTAATTTGAACAGAACAGAACAGAACAAAAAAAATATGAATTATTATGCTAATTAGAGAATTAATATGAACAAATTTTAACCCAAAATTAATCAGGCCTGTCTATTGTCCTAGAGCATTTATGTACCAAATTTTATTCAAATGGGATGATCAGTAATTGAGATATCAGTGTTAAATAATTATGTTAATAAGGTGATTATTAAGCATAAATATTTACCAAAAACTAATTGGGTCTCATTGAAATGTGATGATGAGTACTCTTTAAAAGTTTCATTAAAATCCAATTCATGGTTCTTTATATATCAGTGTAACATTCATGGACAAAATTAACTAATTATGCAAATTAGGTAATTAATATCCACAAATATTTACCCTAAAACTAATCAGGTATCTGCATAGTCCTAAAAAATCTATGTAGCAAGCCTCATTGAAATATGATGATTAGTACTTGAGATAACAGGCAAAAAGCTGAAAATTAACTAATTATGCTAATAAGGTAATTAACATGTACTGATATTACCCTAAAAACTATCAGGTCTGTGCAGTGTCCTATGACATCTATGTGCCAAGTTTCACTGAAATGGGATGATTACTACTTGAAATATCAAAAGCTGAAAATTAATTATGCAAATTAGGTAATTAATATGTACTGATATTACCCTAAAAACTATCAGGTCTGTGCAGTGTCCTATGACATCTATGTACCAAGTTTCATTGAAATGTGATGATTAGTACTTGAGATATCAGTGGAAAAGCCGAAAATTGATTAATCATTATGCAAATTAGATAATTAGAGATTTTTAAGATTTTTACCCAAAACTAATCAAATTCATGCATTAGTTTGGAGCATCTATGTGCCAAGGTTCATCAAAATTCAATGAGTGGTTCTTTAGATATCAGTGGAACAGTCATAGAACAGCTACAAATCAGCTAATTATCATGCAAATTAGGTAATTAATATGCATGGCTTTTTACCAAAACCTAATCAAATCTGCGCATTGGCCCAGAGCATCTATGCACCAAGTTTCATCAAAAATCAATGTATGGTTCTTGAGATATCAGTGGAACAGATGGACACACATACACACACACACATACAGACACACTAACTGCAAAGACACCCATTGTGTGCTTCGCACACGGAAGTCAAAAACTGATCAAATGTTGCATTATAATTTTGACGCGATCGCAGCAGAAAAGCACACTCAGAAATAGCAACCTGTCGCCATGACTTTCCCAAGGTTACAAAGTTTACTGAAAGTTTCAAGAAAATGATGCATACTTTCTTGAATGACAACAAACTATCTACCCTGCAAATGTAAAATTTGTTGCTTATTTGTTATAAATTTAAGCGAAATACAGAACTGAGAATTAATCAAAAGATTTGATTTTATGCAGATATGCGAGACTCAATTGCGCCGATTGAGATGTTGTTTACTTATGCAAAGAGCATATATGATGTGAATATATGATTTGCTCATTAAAAATGTGATCAATCAATGCCCAAAGTTCATTTTCTGAGCGCAGCAAATTGTATAAGCAAATTTACTTGAGTCAATTTTCAGTAGAGAAGCAGAGAAACAGACAGAGGAAGCTGGGGTACTATAGCATTAAGACAAGTAATTAAATACATGAAGATGTTACTTTTGTATTTGTAGTGTAGTGTTGGGCTTTGTTCAGGTAATAAACATTCTTTGGAATCAACAATTCACCGAAAATCACAGCAAAGTAATGCACAGTTAACAATGTCTATCATTTGCACACATTGTCTTTATCACTTTCATGCACTGTATCACATTCTATAAATTACATCATTTCCATTTGTAGTACAAATTCATTATTATTGATTGTCATGGTAACAAGTAGCTCTGATAATGTCTTGAGCCAAGTTTAGCACAAAGCCAGTAATAATATAATTGGTTATAATAAAACAACTAACCTTTTTTGCTGCAGCAATATCTCTATTTTGAAGAGCTGGAAATAAGTAAAATTTACATTTATGTCGGTGTAAATGTTCATTCAGTAGCTTTGTATAATCTATCAGAGACTGTTCGACAAATGTTATCAGTAAAGCATGCTATGGAGAAGTTTTATAATTTCATAACAACATACCTTGACACAGCTCTTTGAGTAAAATATTGGAAAACAGATAACAACTGTCATTTGTGGCAGATATTGTCAAATTGTAACTTCCTAAAAATAAACCAAATATCAATAAAGTGTATCAGATTTGCTGTATTGGAAGTGCATCTCCCATAAAAGTACACATACACCAACAATTGCATGGATTGTATGATGGATAAATAAAATACATCTTAATACCAGTAGTATAGTCTGTCAAGAAGATAATATTTCAAGGAAGATAAAGTAAGACATAGGCAACTAAGACATGGCCTCTGAATATCAAGCCATGTTCGTTGCTATATATTAATTCTGAAAATATTATTGATAATTGAAAAATCACAATGTGCAACTGAATTGCAGCTTACCATTATTATTCTGTTGTTGCAAAATAATGTTATTAAAAGTTGATATGTTGTGATCAAAACCATTCTCTAGATGACCATTCTCAGCTTGAGATAATAGTTGCTGAAAACACAAAAATTTGGTATCAACCGCATATCCTTAGCATTCCATTCACATCAATTTAACTCTATCCACGTGATGCTTTTGTTGGCATTTTTGGTACAAGATGACATGATTAAGATGTAAATATACCGTAACAAAGAATCAAATAATTAAACCATTGTGATAGATAAACTGGAATATGGTTTAAAGTCCATTCATACAGAGTTCTTAAAGCAAAGAAAAGAACACATATAAAACTTGTATACTAGTATCTTTTTAAGACCAATGAAAAGTAATTCATGGTCAAGAAAGTGTACTACAAAAGGCAACTAAGAAGAGGGTTCAGGTTTTAATAGCTTTTTTGCCACATGTTAATAAAAATGAACGCTTTATACATTATAGAATATCTGATTATTTTATGAAAATTTCAGAGCTCTATTACAAATGGAACATAAAACTGTGATTTAAAGTAACAACCCACTACATTTGCATATTTGCATGTATTTTAATAAATCACAGTCAAGTGTGTAATAATTATAAAAAACATTTTTAGATGCAAGTATCTATATTTTAGCGGATGTCATAACATTGGTCGCAGATGATTACATGACCAATTACAAATTCAATGCAGTTACTCCACTATTCATCAATTGATGAGCAATTTAGTGTACATCTTGGTTTTAATTCTGACATCAAGATGATCAATCAAACAAGTACTACTCAACATGCAGTAGATTTATTTACTTATTTAGAGATTTTAGATGTAGTAAATATGAGCAATACCTAGCCAGCAATTTCTATTCAATCCAAGCATTCAAAAGATTACACTTTAAAGATTTCAAAGAGTAAAAATGCACAACATATTCTGGTGAAAAAAAGTCT